TCAACTAAATCACCAATGGTTTAAGGAAGAAATAAAGAAAGAAATTAAAGACTTCCTAGAGATCAACGAAAATGAAGACACCACATACCCAAACCTATGGGACACTATGAAAGCAGTGCTAAGAGGGAAATTCATAACACTAAATTCATGCCCACATAAAGAAGTTGGAGAAATCTCACACTAGTGACTTAACAGCACACCTGAAAGCTCTAGAAAAAGAAGAAGCAAAGTCTCCCAGGAAAAATAGATGCCAGGAAATTATCAAAGTGAGAGCTGAAATCAATAAAATAGAAACAAAGAGAACAATACAAAAAATTAATGAAACAAAGAGTTGGTTCTTTGAGAAAATCAACAAGATAGACAAGCCCTTATCCAAACTAACCAAATGACAGAGAGAGAGCATCCAAATCAACAAAATCAGAAATGAAAAGGGGGACATAACAACAGACATTGAGGAAATCCAGAGAATCATCAGGTTATACTTCAAAAATCTCTACTCCACAAAACTGGAAAACTTAAAAGAAATGGATAATTTTCTGGGTAGGTACCACATACCAAAGTTAAATCAAGACCAGATAAACTATTTAAATAGAGCAATAACCACTAAGGAAATAGAAAGTCATTAGGGTCTCCCAACCAAAAAAAGCCCAGGACCAGATGGTTTCAGCGCAGAATTCTACCAGATCTTCGTAGAAGAGCTAATACCAATACTCTCTAAATTGTTCCACACAATAGAAACAGAAGGAACATTACCAAACTCCTTCTATGAGGCTACAATTACCCTGATTCCTAAACCAAACAAGGATACAACAAAGAAAGAGAACTACAGACCGATCTCCCTCATGAACATTGATGCAAAAATACTCAATAAAATACTGGCAAACAGACTCCAAGAACACATCAAAACAATTATTCACTATGATCAAGTAGGCTTCATTCCAGGGATGCAAGGGTGGTTCAACATACGAAAGTCTGTCAATGTAGTACACCATATAAACAAACTCAAAGGAAAAAAACACATGATCATCTCACTAGATGCAGAAAAGGCATTTGACAAAATCCAACATCCCTTCATGATAAAGGTCTTGGAGCGATCAGGAATACAGGGAACATACCTAAACATAATAAAGGCAATTTACAGCAAGCCAACAGCCAACATCAAATTAAATGGAGAGAAACTCAAAGCAATCCCACTAAAATCAGGAACGAGGCAAGGCTGTCCGCTCTCCCCATACTTATTCAATATAGTACTTGAAGTTCTAGCCAGAGCAATAAGACAACATAAGGAGATTAAGGGGATACAAATTGGAAAGGAAGAAGTCAAGCTTTTCCTATTTGCAGATGACATGATAGCATACTTGAGTGACCCCAAAGATTCCACCAAGGAACTGATACAGCTTATAAACACCTTCAGCAACATAGCAGGATACAAGATCAACTCAAAAAAATCAGTAGCCCTCCTATATACAATGGACAAAGAAGCTGAGAAGGAAATCAGAGATACATCACCTTTACAATAGCCACAAATGACATAAAATACCTTGGGGTAACACTAACCAAGCAAGTGAAGGACCTATATGACAAGAACTTTAAGTCCCTGAAAAAAAATTGAAGAAGACATCAGAAAATGGAAAGATCTCCCATGCTCATGGATAGGCAGGACTAACATAGTAAAAATGGCAATCTTACCAAAAGCAATCTACAGATTCAATGCAATCCCCATCAAAATACCAACACAATTCTTCACAGACCTGGAAAGAATAACACTCAACTTCATATGGAAAAACAAAAAACCCAGGATAGCCAAAAGAATCCTGTACAATAACACAACCTCTAGAGGCATCACGATTCCTGACTTCAAGCTCTACTATAGAGCTACAGTAATGAAAACATCTTGGCACTGGCATAAAAACTGACATGTGGACCAATGGAATCGAATTGAAGACCCTGATATTAATCCACACACCTATGAACATATAATTTTTGACAAAGAAGCCAAAAGTGCACAATGGCAAAAAGAAAGCATCTTCAACAAATGGTGCTGGCATAACTGGATATCAACATGTAGAAGGCTGCAAATAGATCCATATCTATCACCGTGCACAAAACTTAAGTCCAAGTGGATCAAGGACCTCAACATAAATCCAGCTACTCTGAACCTGCTGGAACAGAAAGTAGGAAGTAGTCTTGAATGCATTGGCATAGGACATCACTTCCTAAATAGAACACCAGTAGCACAGACACTGAGAGAAACAATCAATCAATGGGACCTCTTGAAACTGAGAAGCTTTTGTAGAGCAAAGGATACGATCAACAAGGCAAAGCAACAGCCTACAGAATGGGAAAAGATCTTCACCAACCCCGCATTTGACAGAGGACTGATATCCAGAATATATAAGGAACTCAAGAAATTAGACATCAAAATGCCCAACAGTCCAATTAAGAAATGGGCTATAGAACTAAACAGAGAATTCTCAACAGAGGAAACTCAAATGGCTGAAAGACATTTAAGGAATTGCTCAACATCCCTAATCATCAGCGAAATGCAAATCAAAACAACTCTGAGATACCACCTTACACCTGTCAGAATGGCTAAGAGCAAAAACACTGAAGACACCTTATGCTGGACAGGATGTGGTGCTAGGGGAACTCTCCTCCACTGCTGGTGGGAATGCAAGCTTGTACAACCACTTTGGAAATCAATATGGTGCTTTCTTAGATAATTGGGAATCAATCTCCCCCAAGATCCAGCTATACCACTCCTAGGCATATACCCAAGGAATGCTCAATCACACCACAAGAGCACTTGTTCAGCTATGTTCATATCAGCATTGTTTGTAATAGCCAGACCATGGAAACAACCTAGATGCCCTTCAACTGAAGAATGGATAAACAAAATGTGGTACATATACACAATGGAATACTACTCAGCAGAGAAAAACAATGACATCATGAGGTTTGCAGACAAATGGATGGATCTAGAAAAAATCATCCTGAGTGAGGTAACCCAGACTCAGAAAGACAAACATAGTATGTACTCACTCATAGGAGGATACTAGATGTGGAACAAGGATGACTGGACTCCTACTCACATCACCAGGGAGGCTACCTGGAAAACAGGACCCCAAGAAAGACACGGGGATTGCCCAGTGACGGAGAAATGGAAGAGATCTACATGAACAGCCTGGACATGAGTGGGGTTAATGAAGGGCGAGGGTCGAGAGAAAGAGAGCTTGGAGGAGTGGGAGATCCCAGCTGGATCAACAACAGAGAGAGAGAACAAGGAATAGGAGACCATGGTAAATGAAGACCACATGAGAATAGGAAGAAGCAAAGTGCTAGAGAGGCCCACCGAAATCCACAAAGATACTCCCACAACAGATTGCTGGCAATGGTCGAGAGACAGCCCGAACTGAACTACTTTGGTGATGGGATGGCCAAACACCCTAATTGTCGTGCTAGAAACCCCATCCTACGACTGAGGCATCTGGATGCAGAGATCTATGACTAGGCCCCGGGTGGAGCTCTGGGAGTCCAATTATCGAGAAAAAGGAGGGTTTATATGAGTGAGAATTGTTGAGACCAAGGTTGGATAAAGCACAGGGACAAATAGCCAAACGAATGGAAACACATGAACTATGAACCAATGGCTGAGGGGTCCCCAACTAGATCAGGCCCTCTGAATGGATGAGACAGTTGATTGGCTTGATCTGTTTGGGAGGCATCCAGGCAGTGGGACCGGGTCCTGTGCTCATTGCATGAGTTGGCTGTTTGAAACCTGGGGCCTATGCAGGGTCGCTTGGCTCGGCCTGGGAGAAGGGGACTGGACCTGCCTGGACTGAGTCTACCAGGTTGATCTCAGTCCTCGGGAGAGGCTTTGCCCTGGAGGAGGTGGGAATGGGGGGTGGGCTGGGGGGAACGGGAGGGGGGCAGGAGGGGGGAGAACAAGGGAATCCATGGCTGATATGTAGAACTAAATTGTATTGCAAAATAAAATAAAATAATATAAAAAAAAGAATAAGACTCAGTGTGTGTATTTATTTGACCACTGGTTGGTGGGCCCCCAAAAGAGTAAAAAACAGCCAACTATATAAAAGCATATATTGCAGAATGAAAGAATTGTCTGGGTTTGAATATTGTCCTTAAAGCATTGCACCCATGTCTATTACTTTTTAACTTTATAACCTCAAGTAGCTGCCAGCTGTCATAAGTGCTGTGAGAGCAGGATGTGTCTGGCTTGATATTTAGTTAAGCCTGTAGAAATGCTCACCTCTGTGTCTACAATAATGTTATGTAGGGAGTGGGAAATTGTATTTGGGGAAGCATAAAGAGGAACAATAGGAACTTTCATAATAATCATTATGTATTCCTTAAAATATGATGTATTTCTTAAAGTCAATAATGGGAGCCAATAGTAAAGCTGTTCATGTAACCCTGGTAAGAAAAACTCTGTTAAAGTATAAATAAAAATGGCTCAAGCTATTTGGGGCCACTTGAGTGCAATTCACCTAGTGGTCAAAATTTTTCCTTATGCCAGTGCCCCTTTCCTACCTCAGGACTTGAACCTGAGCTGAAGCTGGACCCCAGAACATCACTTATATGAATTGAAGGTTGAATGATAGTCTGATTAGAACAGGAATACAAACTGAAAATGTTTTTATCAAGAACATGCAGAAGATACACGTGACTGTGAATTATTTATTTATCTGTTTTTCGTGGTAGGAATTTATCTGTTTTACATGAAATTCATGTAAATAGCTTAGGTTTAGATTCATGTGAGTTACCAGGAATATTAACAGTGTTACAGAGAATATACAATGGCAGACATATTTGTGCAGTGACTTCAGAGACTGCAAAAAAGAGAACTGATGTCCCTGGGCAATGAGAGAACAGAAGCTGTGAGAAGGGGGAAGGACACAGTGTCCCTGCTGGGAAAGTGGTAAATGTAGGCCTTGGGGTGATTTCATAAAAGAATACAACAGGAGTCAGGCATCTGATCTTCAGGCAGGAATGAAGCAGAGCTGGAAAGGGAGAGGCACTGAAGCAAAACCATTGACTACTGGGGTCATATTGATGTCCTTTGGATGAACCAGAGACTTCAGCTTGAAGTTCTGCAAAATGGTGGTCAGGAACAGAAAAAGCTCCATGCGAGCCAGGCCCTCTCCTGCACAACTCCGTTTTCCTGGGGGGAAAAGAGACAAAAAAAAAAAAAAAGGTAGCCATGCCTTCCTTGTACATAAGTGAGTGTGAGATGCCCTGTGTTTGTAACTTGATGAGTGGTTAGATGTATGGATGAAGGAGAAGACAATTAGTTAAGCAAATAGACAACAGTGGGTAACATTTAAGTAACAAAGTCTTAAGAAATGAATCATACAAAAGTCCTTATCAGCTTGGTTGCTCACATCTGTCATCAGAATATCTGTGAGACTGAAGGATGGTTTATGAGTTTGTTATCAAAATAGCCTCAGCACACATACTGCATGTATGAAGAGTCAATATTCATGACAAGCATCCTGATTGGTGGAGCAGCAGGAAGTTGTGTGATCACCTTATGGTGTGATGCCAGATCTACAAGGATTCCATGATCTCATGTGATCTAATACTTTCTTGCATTCTGAACTAAGAGAAAACATCCTGCTTCAGTAGTTCATTATTTTTTAAATAAGTAATCATGTTTATACTGTGTGGGACAATGAGCATGTCAAAGCCAGTTTTCCAGAGGGCCCAGAAGATTGCTCCTGATGTCCTGGAATTAGAGATATAGATGATTGTCAGCTACCCAAGATGGGTGCTGGGCATTGGACTCAGGTCTGTTGTAATGGCAGCAAGTTATCTTAACTGGCTAGCCATCTCTCCAGCCCATCCTTACCAGTGAAAACATGGCCTCCCACAGCCAAAATTCCAGCAAGGAATTTGCTCACACTGTCTCACCTCCAACTGAGGAGCAATTAGCTGTTTATAGCTATTAAGAGACAGAGAATAAGTTTTCATCATGGATGTGGTTTCAGATGTGTTATCAATGCTTGTGAGAATGTCACTGATCCTTGAATTTACTAGAAGCAAAGAGTGTAATCAGTAGGTTAAAAATAGAGTAGATGAAGATGGGAGAGAGAGTGCTTCTGGGAGTAATGCAAAGAGTGGAAGGAAGTAGTGTGCGTGGTTTTCATCAAAAGAAATGGGACACATGTATGAAAATCAAAAACAAATAAAACCATATCTTAAAACGGCAAGCATTTCTTTTCCTGTTCTGTCGAGTTCTTTGAAGCAGGTAGAAAGTAATCAATTAGTGCCACCACACTCTCATAAAAACCAGAGAGGTAACAGAAATCAATAAACAAAACATCCATCCAACAAAGACAAAATGAGGTGTCGGCACCTACTAGTATAGTCTTCTCAGTATGCCTAGATGCCAGTGTAAAATCACATCCAATAGCAACCAGGACAATATGTCTCCACCAGAGTACAGCAACCTTACCACAACAGGACTGAATATTCCAACATAGCTGAAGTACTGGAAAAATATCTCAAAACAGAGATCCTGTTATATGCAAACACACTGGGAAAAAAGACATTGTTTTCAACAAAATGATGCTTGTCAAACTAGATGGCTGGCTGTATGCAGAAGAATCCAAATAGTTCCATACTTACTACCTTGCATAAACTTAACTCCAAATGAAGCAAAGACCTCAACATAAAACCAGATACACTGAAACTGATAGAAGAGAAAGTGGAAAATAGCCTTGAACTCATTGGCACAGGAGAAGACTTCATGATCAGAACACCATTAACACAGGCACTGAGTTCTACTATTAATAAATGGGACCTCACGAAACTGCAAAGCTTCTGTAAGGCAAAGGACATTCAGATGACATGGTAGCCTAGAGAATATCAAAAGATTTTTACCAACTCCACATCCAGTCCAGGACTAATATCCAAAATATATAAAATACTCAATACTTTTATATCTAGTATATAAAAAGACACAAATAATCCAATTAAAAATGGGGTACAGATCTAAACAGAGAATTCGCAATAGAGGAATTTCAAATGGCTGAGAAACACTTAAAGAAAGACATCAACATCCTTGGTCATGAGAAAAATGCAAATCAAAACTACTTTGGAATTCCATCTTATACCTCTCTGTTGTAGAATATTTGTTTAACTAGGCAAAGATGTTTTACATTTGTTTATGCTGCATTTGTTTAACTATGTAAAAATGTGTCATATTTACATTAATTTAATAAAATTAACCTGGACTCAGAGAGGTGGGGTTAGCAGCTAGTTTACAGGAAGTAGTAGGGAGGAGTGCAGTATGTTTTTTGTTGTTGTTGTTTTAGTTGGGGTGGTGTGGAAGGAGAGAGGCTTCTGGGGACACCAGTAAAGAGAGAAAGTCAGTTTCTTCTCTAACTTTCTGAGCTAACAAGTTTCACCCTAGACTTTGAATCTTGAGTTTTATTAGAATGATAGACATTTAGTTAAAGCTACCTTTAATGGCAGCAACAGAGCTATTGTCTGGGGGAACAGAATTCCCCCCAACCCATGGCCTGAGTGGCCCAGCTGCTAGTAGTTTAAAGCACAGCTACTCTGATGAAGGTAAAACAGCACTTCTCAGAATGACTAAGATCAATAACACAAGCAACAGCTCATGCTGGTGAGGATATGGAGCAAGAGGAAGATTCAACCTTTGCTGCTGGGCATGCAAAGTTGTACAGCCATTATTGTTGAGTAATATTAGTTTAAGATGTGTTACATTCATTTATGCTGTGGAATATTTGTTTAATGATGCAAAGATGTATTGCATTATTTCAGTTTGCATTTGTTTAACTCTGTGAAGCTGTTACTTTACCTGTCTAAAACACCTGATTGGTCTAATAAAGAGCTGAATGGCCAATAGCTAGGCAGGAGAAGGGATATGTGGGGCTGGCATGCAGAGAGAATAAACAGAAGGTGAAATCTAGGCTAGGGAAGAAGAAGTGAGAGGGAGGAGTGAGGAGAGGAGCAGAGAAAGACACCAGGGTCCAGCTACAGAGTAAGAAGGAAAGAAAGATATGTAGAATAAAGGTGAAAAGCCCAGAGACAAAACATAATTAAAGAGTAATGGGATAATTTAAATTAGAAAAACTGACTAGAAATAAGCCAACCTAAGGCTGGTCATTCTTAAATTAGAATAAGTCTTCCTGTGACTATTTGGGAGCTGGGTGGCAGGCCCCCTAAGAGTAAAAAAAAAAAAACTATATACTATGGAAACCAGTGTGGCAGTTCCTCAGAAAGATAGGAATCAATCTACTTCAGGGTCCAGCTGTATATACCACTTGTGCTGGATAGTTTTATGTCAATTTGACATATGCTAAAATCAAATGAGAAGAGTGAATCTTGATGAAGAAAATGCTTCCATAAGATCTGGCCATGGGCAAGCCTGTAGGCATTCTCAATTAATGGATGGCAGAAGGCCCAGACCATTGTGATTGGTGTTATCTATAAGCTGGAGACCCTGGATTCTGTAATAAAGCAGGCTAAGCATGGTAGAGGAGGCGAGCCAGTAATTAATACCCCCTCTATAGCCTATAAGGTGGAAGTATAGGCCAAATAAACCCTTTTTCTCCCCAACTTCCTTTGGTCACGATGTTTCATCACAGCATTAGTAATCCTAAGACACCACTCCTGAACATATATGCAATGGACTCTACACCCTACCACAGAGACACTTACTCACGTATGTTCATTGACGCTCTATTCATAATAGCCAGAAGTTAAAAAACAGCTTAAATGTCCCTCAACAGAGGAATTGATAAAGAAAATGTGCTACATTTACACAATGGAGTATTATTCAGATGTTAAAAACAAAATAATATCAAGAAATTTGGAAGCAAATGAATGGAAGTAGAAAAAGTAATTCTGAGTGAGGTAACCCAGACCCAGAAAGATAAATATGGTCTCTATTCACTCTAAGTACATATTATCCATTAAGTAAATGATAACCAAACTATAACCCATAGACCCAGAGAGATTAGGTATAAAGAAAGGTACTAGTGGGACACACATGAATCTGGGAAGGAGAAATAGAATAGATTTCATGGGTGGACTGGGGATGGGGGGACTCTAACAGAAGGACCAGGTGGGAAAGGAGAGGGACTGCAAGGAGAGACAGATAGAATTGAGGGGCATTTGTGTTGTAATATAGAAACCTAATCAGTAGAAACTTCCTAAAATATATGAAGGTGAAGCTTCCAGTACTGGTACTGGGTTACATCCAATTGAGATTTTGGCCAAAGGGGTCCCATGAAAATCTCTAAACAACTCAGGCTGTTGCCAAGAAAATAGGTTGCTCTCCGCAAACTGACAGCAAGACCCCACTGATGAAGACAACACCCACACAACTCATGGAGAGGTTGATGCCTACATATAACCTTCACCCCTCTGTTCTATTGTCTTTGGTACAAGAAGGTACTCTGCAGGCTACCAAAGGAGAAATGTATACACCAACTCAGCTACAACACCTTTGATTTACAAGGCTGTCCTTCCTGGAAAATATGCTAGGGCAATGGTAACATAAATCTTAAGGGAGTAACTAACCAATATTTGATTTGATTTAAGGCCCACTCCACAAGATGGAACCTTGTAGATGGAAGTTTCTGTCCCACCCAGCCCTACAGCCATTCAGTCTCAAATAAATACACAGAAGCTTATATTAATTATAAACTATTTGGCCTATTGTTCAGGCTTATAACTGACTAGCTCTTATGCTTAAATTATCCCATAATTCTTGTCCATGTTTAGCCATGTGGCTTGGTACCTTTTCTCAGTTTAACATTCTCATCTTATTTCCTCTGTGTCTAGCTGGAGACTCTGTCTCTGCCTTTCTTCTTCCCAGAATTCTCCTAGCCTGGTCACTCCACCTACACTTCCTTCCTAGCTACTGGCCAATCAATGCTTTATTAAACCAATAGGAGTGACAAAACTTTACAGTGTACAAGAGCATTATCCCACAGCAGAACCTATATCTGACACTGCTTTTGTGACCAAGAACCAGAAAAAATATAGCCCAGAGACCTATGGTAAAACCAAATACTACTGGTCTTTAAAAATAAAAAAAGTAAAAAATAAAAATAAAAAGTAAAAATAAATAAATAAATAAATAAATAAAATAAAAACAACTCCTAATGATATTCTACTATACTCATAGATCAGTGCCTTATTCAGCAACCATCAGAAAAACTTCCTCCTGTACCAAATAGAAAAAACAGAGAGACCCACAACCAGACATGGAGAGAGAGAGAGAGAGAGAGAGAGAGAGAGAGAGAGAGAGAGAGAGAGAGACCTAGGAACACTAAGTTCTACATGGGATATCTCCATCCAATCTTTCCCCCTCAGAGCTCAAAATTTGATCTTAACACAGCAATCTCATCATCAAGGAAGTCATGCTTCTGATTATTCAAAACTTAGACCCTTGGGAGATACTGCATAAGTTCACACAGACCCTCATGTCACTGAAGCCATGGAAATAAATTTCTATTACCTGTTGAGAAAGGCATGAAGTAGTCACTTTTCTTAAAGTTTCCATTCTTATCTAGAAAGTGTCCAGGGTCAAATACCTCTGGGTTGGGGAATTCCTTGCTGTCATGCAGGACTGACGACAGTGATGTTACTATGGTTGTTCCCTGCAAACAACAAACACAGAGACACCCAGGTACAAAGAAATCATTGACCTAAATGCATAAGGGAAATAACCTACTTCACCTTCCAATCCCTAGACAGGGTTAAGTGAAAAGAAGAGCAGGAACATTTCAGCACACAGTATGTAAGGAGCAGGAAGGAGTCCGAGACCCATTCACAGTGATATAGTTACCATGCCTCCAGTGACATCTGAAGTCAGTACTTGGATGTTTGGTGCTAATTATTTCAAGTCTGTTCTCGATTTCCTCAGATTTGGACATGTGTGTCTCACCATCTGCTGCTCTCACATGGTTCATCATCTGGTTTTCACAGGTCACATGGATTATGATTGCAACTGAAGTGCAGTATTATATGTTTGTGGAACAGGAAATCACTCATGAAAGTATACAAACAAAATCTAAAGAGTCTGATATGATAGTTTTCTATCATTTGCATGTGATTCGTGGTAGATGTAGATATTACATGTCATGTAAAGAAGAGTCTACTCTCATATATAGAATCTGTGTATGTAAACACATACACACTCACGTACACACCCAACAAAAGCAAAAAGGAGACTATTTGTGAGGTGAAGGGTACTAATGAAATGGGACAAGAAAGAGGAGAGATATTAAATATGTCATGATAGTCATGTTCTCTATGTAACAGCTAAATAAAAATTGTTCTGAATATGTATGTAAATAGTTTGTGCTGGTGCTTCCAAGTTTTCTTCAGTTAATACACATACTGACCCCTATCACTCTCAAATTTCTCTCCTTTTTTAACTTTTATTGATTCTTTGAGGATTTCACATCATGCAGTCTGACCCTACTTTTCTCTGTGTCCCCTTACATCTGTCCTTCTGCCCTTTCAACCTCCCCTCAAATCAAAACCAAATTTAAAAGAAAAAAACAAAACAAAAAAGAAACTTGTCATGGAAGCTGTAGTGTGGCCCATTGAGTCAACATTTTGCTCTTTAGTCCATTTCATTCATCTTTACTTGCAAGTGTTCATTGCCATGAGTCACTGGTCTGGCTAGGGGCCTCTGGTTTCTGCTACATCACTGACAATGGGCTCTTACTGGGGCTCCTCTTGGATATCCTGTTGTCCTGTGTCATGGAGATGCTGCCGTTTTGGATCTGTAGGTTTGTACCCTTCACATGCTCTAACAGTTCGTAGATTTGATGGATGTTGGGGTGGGTCAACTCATAGCCTTGGTTCTGGGCCTGGGTAGTAGCTGGGTTGGTCAGCCCACTAGCTTTCCCTCATCATCACTACCTGGGCCAGGTAAGCTCTCCATCACTGCCTAGGCTAGTTCACCAAATGCAGCCTACAGCAAGGAGCAGGGCCAGTTCTACTTTCAGACCCTCAGATCTGGGTCCCCCACACTTAAATCACCAGTGCCAGCTCTACTGTTTTGCCCAGGCAAGGGTGCAGGGCCTTCTCTCCTGATTGTTGTGCTGAAATGTGGTGATATTTTATTTGTATGTTAATAAATAAAGTTTGCCTGGAGATCAGGGGACATAGATACCCAGCCATAAACAAAAAGTTAGGTGGTGGTAGCACATGCCCTTCATCTGATCACATGGCAGGCAGAGTCTCTGTGCATTCAAGAACACCGCCAAGTGTGGTGAGACACGCCTTTAATCCCAGTACCAACCATAGAGACCTGGAGGTCTGTACAGACAGGCAGTGACAAGGAAGTGAGGTGGCTGGGCTAAGAGCCAATGAGAAGGCAGAACAGCAAGGCAATAAAGGCATAGGTTAGAAAGGAAGAAGCTGGTTCACTTGGGAAGCTACAGCAGTGGTGTGGTGAGCTAAGGTCAGCTAGTGGCTCTCACTATTTCTCTGATCTCTATGGCCTTCACCCCTGTATTTGGCTCTGTGTTTCTTATTTAATAAGACTGTTTAGAATTTTGTCTACAGCTAGTTCTCTCATTCTTGTGACCCTGGGGCTAGCTCTCTGACCTGCCACAGATAGCAAGGGGCAGAGCAGGGAAGGCACCTTTCCCTCACCCATGTCACCATATGGTAGACCAGGGGAGTGGAGTCAGCTCTGTTGCTCTCCTGCCCTCAGGGCTGGCTCTCCTGTATCCCTGACAACAGGAAGCAGGGCCAGCTCTCTAGTGTGCTGCAGCCAGTGAGGGTCAAGGCTAGCTCTCCCACTCTTGCAACCCTGGGGCCAACTCTCTCACCTGCCACAGGTGGTAATGGGGGAGGGCAAACCAAGAGATGGTGAGGTCAGCTCTCCTGCTCTCATGCCCTCAAGGTCGGCTCACCTGCATCCCCCAACCACAGGGTCAGCTCTAGTGTGCTGCCCCTAGTGTGCACAGGTGAGGTACATAAACACTTGCGGTGAGGCGTGGGACCACTCTTCCTGAGTACAAGGGTGAGATCTCCCCTGAGGGATAGGGCCAGTTTATCTCCTGCTGTATCCAGCAAGGGGCAAGGCCCACCATCCCAGAGGCAGTGAAGGGTGGGGCCTGCTCAGAACAACATGGTTCCAGTGACCCTCATGCTGACACAGGCCATGGACATCATCACCACAGACCCCAGGTGCCTGGCATGTGCTCAACAAAGCTTTCATGAGACCGTATCCTGTATTTTCATATCAACTGAACTAAACGTGTTCTGGTAAAGAAGTTACTCACCAGATTTCTAAGAGAGTAGAGTCAGCCATAAAGTCGTGATTATTTCTGTATCAGGCAGTTCCAGTATGGAAAGGAACACTATTTCAGTTCTCAAGATGCAAAGCGAACAGTCACATCATGAGCCATCAGCCAAGAGATACAGGATTATGAGCTTTAAGCAAATGCAGTACTTGCCTCAAGCAAGACTGTAATCATGGCAAGGGGCTCTAGGACACAGGTCATTCCTGTTTCATTCTTCAGTCTATTGACCATTTAGCTATAAGGACTTAAACTAAATGTTGTTATACTGTGCATAGACCCCAATAATAAGAATCATAAATCATATTTCAGGAAGATCTTTTGGCAGATCTTAATCTAATTAAAACATTTTTCAAATTTTCTAAAGACATCAGAATTGACAGGAAAAAATTGATAAGAAATGAAATAAGTATTTGCATTAGATTAGTTGGACCTATTAATTCAGTCATCTCTCTCATAATATTTATGCCAACTTCATCTGTTCTCTGGGAAAGTTCATGAATCCGTACCCTAACTGACCGATATCTGTCTCTGCACTCTTCTAGTTTCTTGTTGCTCTCATGTTCCTAATGTCCTGATTCGTTTTTACAAACTTTCAATTTTAGTGAGCATAGAAATAAAAAATCGGACTAATGCTACCTGGAATTCATAAGTCAGTTCAATCATAACATAAACTGAAATAAAAGACAAGAATATAAAAAATATAGATAAAAATATTAGCCAGGAAACATCTTGAAATTCCACCACAAAAATTTATAGATAAACCATCACCTGTAGTTATTAGAATTATACATAAGTTTGGGTTAAAACAAAAAAGATCACCCATGATTGAATCAATTGTTTGTATTAACCAGGTCAAAAGAAAGGTGGAAGTTCTAGAAAATGATCATCAGAAAACATGGATTACTCAGTAAATTTCTAAAGAAAATATTTACAAGCTACATTATGGGGGAATGAAGAAAGCATAAACTAACATATGACATAGCAGCTTTTTGATGAGTTAAAGCATTCAGGATATAAATTCTTTCCAATTATTTGGAGTTTTTTTTTCTCTCAATAAAAATTTCAAAAGTGTCTTCAGGAAAATTTAACAGTAAGTTGGAAAATACACACAGAAGTATGTATGCAAAAGATTTGTCAAAACAAAATTTGGAAGATGGAGTAGCTGTGGAAGCATCATTGCCATGTCCCTGCCTACTGTGGAGTTGCCCTGGAAATCATGGAGCAGCATAAGAACCTGCAGCACTGTGTGACTTAGAGGACTGAAATCACACTGTGAACCTGGGGGCATCAAGAGGTCAGAGGTGCAGCAGAGAAGAGACAAGCTTACCTTGGGGATAAGGTAGTTCCTGAACTTAATGTCACAGGTCACTGCATGGGGAATGCTGTTAGGGAGAAGATCAATGAATCTCTGGACTTCATGAATCATGGCATCTGTATAGGGCATCTGGCTCCTGTCCTGCATGCAGGGGCTGCGGTGTCTGCCAACCACACGATCAATCTCTTCCTGTACTTTAGCTGGTTATAAACACGAGAAATGATGGAACAGCAGGAAAGTAGCATGTCTGTCGCAATAAGTCAGGGCAACACAGTGCACAACCAAGGTGCCCAGCATTAAGAGTATAAACGTTGAAAGAACCCCCGATGAGTACATTTAGATATATAGAATGCAAAAGTATGGATTCACACCATCCTCATACTACATAGCTGCTACTTTGGGTGCATAAGTATGTACTGTGTGTTCACGTGTGTGTCGACAAATACACAGATGCATGTTCACATGAGTACACTGCATGTGGAGGCAGAATGAAAATGTCAGATATTCTTCAGGAGCCATTCCATTTGCCTCCTCATAGGGTCTCAGGGTCTGCAGCTGACCATTTAGGGTAGACCCTCTGCCTGGTGTGCCCCTCAGTTCTGCAGTCTCCATCACTCCAGTGCAAGATTATAGGCATGTTCCACCACAATAAGCATTTTTACACGGATTCAGGGAAAAGTGATGTGTTTGTCACAATGATGCAGTACTACATGGACATGAAGAAAGCACCTATGCTGCATTGTAAATGTACATTTCTTGTAAAGGAATAAACTTATGTAAACATAATTTTTATTATATATACTTATAGCTTTATCAAATGGAATAGATATCATGCTTCATTATCATATACTAATTATTTACAGCCATATATCAAATAATATGTAAGATAATTAAACATTTCAAACAATAAAATACAGTACAATTAACCAGATATTACTGTGATTAATAAAAGACATCATAAACAGTTGTTAAATGTGGGCATGTACAATTTTAAATGATAATCCAGTTATGTTCCCATTATCTAACAGTGGTCAGGGTTAATGTCAACAACTACTTGTGAAATATATTCATATTTTAAATAACTGCTTCTTACATACTCAAATATATATAATATCTATTGAGTTATTGATATCAGAAATGAAAATATAAGTTATACCTACATCTTGTATACAAATGTATAACTACAAATAGATAATAAAATATGCACCAACACAACATAAGTACACACATACACACACACACACACACACACACACACACACACACACACACACACACACACAAATATACACACAAATATAGTGAACCTGTCACTTCCCTAACTGTTGATCTTGAGTTATAATACTTAAACCAATATTCATTATTGGAATAATTGTATTTATATATATACTCTGTATTACAAAAATTACAGTAGTTTTTGTTATTGATATGCTTTGTGACTGAAGTATGCCTCTTCTTTTTAGCTTGTAATCAACCCTTTATGAGTTAGCATTATTTACAATTATTAAAGTGATGCTTCCACCCCAGGAATAAAAGCTCAGTTAGTGAGGAAGCCAGACCATACATTTCTCCTCATTTGCTGTTCATGCCTGCAGCATCCATGGGGTAAATACATAATTGAGAGCTTTCTAAATCTGATCCCCAAAAACCAATCTGAAACTCTCACCATCTTTCATGGGCTGTGTAGATTTCTAGAGCCCATGACTTCCAAGGACGTTGCGTTAGACAACAGGACAGAAAACACCCCCCAGCGTTTCATGAAGTAGGGTGTGAAATTTATGGGGTGCGTGGGGGTTTATTCCTTCATTTTATCAACACCTAAGACACCACAAGCTTCTCTTGAGAATTATGGTGCTGTCTCAGTGTGAATCAGGGATCTCCCTGAAGGATTTTTCCTTCTGTTAGACCTGGTGTTTGGAAATTTCATGACTCTTTGCCTTGCAGTGATGATTTTATTTTATTTCTTCCAATGGATATTTGGAAAGGATTGCCTATGAAGATGATAAAATACAGAGATCTTTACACTGCATCATTGTCTGGAGGTAGATCCAGTTGCCGATATTCATGAAATACAATGGAGAAAGGACCTCTCAGACTCTCCAGGGACTCAGCATACCCAGTTCTCCTCTTTCATCCTACATTATTCTTCCCCTGCCATCCACTAAATGTTCCTGTGCACATGGCTTCTTGTACTCAGTTTATTTTGAGAATAATTCAGTGTTTTCTTTGTTGGAAACTGTCACCTGCAGGATGTAGGAACTATAGCTAGACAAGCCTCTGGTTTCTATCTGGCTCACATTTAGACTCCTTTAATCCAAAAGGGCCCCTTATGTAGAATGGGTAGGGGTTGTTTTTCTTATTTCACAGCAAATCTTCAGCCATATCTGTTATACTATTCTCTTCCAGGCTTCTTTTCCCTCACTCCTCATTACTATTTTGTTTCTGGAATTTGGTAAATGCTTCTTACTTGTTTACAGTTGTCTATTTTCCTACTCTAAATACATTGATTCTCTTTCATTTCAGTGCACATTGGACACAGGATATAAGTTGTATTTCACATATGGTGATCAACTGGTCAATTTAAAGATAAATTTCTAAAATAATGTTATTTGTAAAATAAAATATTTGGGGCACATTTTAAAAAATTGTTCAACACACTGAGTGGTGGTGGCACACGCCTTTAATCCCAGCACTTGGGAGGCAGAGCAGGCGGATCTCTGTGAGTTTGAGGCCAGCCTGGTCTATTGAGCGAGATCTAGGAAAGGTGCAAAGCTACACAGTGAAATCCTGTCTCAGAAAAAAAAAAGAAAAAGAAAATAGATTTTCCTTCTCACATAATACATCCTGATTAGAGTTTTCCCTCCTCTGCTCCTCCCAGCTTCCCCTGCATCTCCTCCCCCATAGGACTACTTCTTATGCTTCAGTGAAGCGAGTTTTCGCCAAATCAGATTTATTAGAAAGAAGAAAGTCAACTGCAAGAATTTGCCGCTTTAAAGCCAAATGTTGGTGAATACAGGAAAAGAAACAACACGCTAAAATGTGCCAGTGGTGCCTTCCCCAGATGACATCCAAGGAAACTCAGACAAAGAACTGGGTTTGATGGTGTTTCCTAAAGATAGGGTCTTTTCATTTCTCTCACCCTCCTCCCTACAAGTTGAGGAACAGAAAATTCAATACTGAGGTGTTGAATAGCAACACTCAGGACACTGGCAGCATCTTCCCATCACCTTACAGGAACTCTGTGCGTCACCACCTGAGTCCTCACCTGTGACATGTGGGTGCTTCAGCAGGAGCAGGAAAGCATACCTCAGCGTTGTGCTTATTGACTCTGTCCCAGCACCAAACAGATCAGTCACAATCACTATCAGATTTTCAATTGTGTACTTCAACTGCTGACTGCAGCTTTCCTAAGAATGGTGTTACAAAATTATCTGATAATTTGTTACTGACACATCCAATTACAACAAATCTACAAAATTACAAAATTTCATATTGTTGATAACACAGAATGTGGACTGTACACTAGTAATGGCAACCAATGTGGCATTTCAGAGCCTGTGATGTAGATAGTCAAAATCCACTCATGTGCAAGCACTGGAAGATGCAATAGTGGTAATAAGGCAATAATACTTCTCAAAGAATTCTAATGAGTCACTTCTATTTGTACCAATGTTCAAATAAGAAAGCAAATCCTAAGATTCAAGTGGAACTGTGGAGAAATATCTAAACCCCACAAACATGAAAATCTACTGCAGACTACAGCATGAAATTAGCGTGACATTAATCACAGATCAAGACCCAAAGAGCTTTGAGGTCCAGATGTGCACAGACTCACATGTGGGCAAAACTGCCTTACACATGAAATAAAAACTTAAAAATGGAAAATAAAAGATCTTGTAGCTATGAGACTGTATAATGTCTGTTGAGAACTGAAGCTATTTTTCACAAAGGTAAATATGAAATTACAGTTTAATCAGAGACACCAGTATTGGGATATGCACACAGAAAATGAAAACATGCCATAAAGAAATGCATGCACACATGTTGATAGATAAATAGCTCAAAAGAGTCCAATGGAGAAACAATGCAAAGACACATGAATGATGCATGAGTGCATTGTGGTTCTCATGCTTGTAAATGAAGTTTGCTGTAACAGAAATAAAACAGAAAGAAACTGAGCTGAGAGGAACATCCAAGATTTTATAAAGGTGCAAGAAGAAAGAAAGCAAAGCCTCGTATACTCTGTCAGAGATACAAAGGAACGTCTATATAGAAAAAAATCACAGTGACAGTTACTAATAAAAATGGAGGAAGGGGAGTGATGGTTCAGTGGCTGTGGTTTGTATTGTAGCGCGCTGGAGGATATTGAAACTAGAGAGTTGGTAGTTAACAGTATTTGTGGATACATTAAATACCATCACAGTGCGCACAAAATGAGTGACTGACATTACATGTGAGATTTTCCTCTGTTTCTACAAATGGCATGTATCCTTACAATTATTGATGGATTAAACGCAATGTCTGTACAAATCACTACTAGCCTCTTTGAAGGAACTGACAAGCTTATCCTACAATTCATATTGGAATTTAAAATATCCAGAATGGTCAAGCAGTCTAGAAAAAGAAAACAGCAAAGTACAGGGACTCACAAAAATCCTGGATTTTAAATATTACTAAAATGTTTTATTAATGAATAACTTGGTACATTAAACCACTAGCAAGGACAAAAATGATGAATTGAGCAAAACTGATTCCCACAATCAAACCTGCATGTTTATTGTTTATTGATTTTTGGTAAGAGTGCCAAGGAAATTGCATAGGGAAATGTATTTTTCTAATTGCACAATGATGACACAGTTAAACCTCACAGGATATACAATGGTTACCAATCTCCAACCCCACTGTGGCATATTTATCTGAAATTATACTCAATTAAAATTTATTCTTCTATCCACATACTCTATCCCATTCCACACCTCTCTCTACATCATTCAGGCCTTTTATATTTCCCATAGCATCTACAATTGCAAATATATTCAGATCAATCATGTATAGGATGTGCAAGTAATCCATACACTAGAAGATGATGCCAATGTTCATGTTTAAGACAGAACAGTTTATTATTTGTGATCAGGTTGAAATTTGTTTCATATTATCTGCCTTTTGTGTTGTCTTTCTACTCTGCTAGATTGTTTTAGCTTTTCCTTTTGGTTTTTAATTTAAAGAAAAAGGCCAATGTGCACTTATTAACAAATTCACTTTATTTCTTCTAGGCATACTCATACACATAATAGATATTAAATTGCTTTTCAAATGATATTGGGCTGCTCTTTAGGAATCACTGGTAAATAAGTATTCAATGAACTATAATCTTATAGAACTTATCCAGTAAGTGTATAAATGTATATTAACATGTAATTGTCATACACATATATACGTGCACATACAAGTGCATACATGTATATATACCCCTAAGTGTATAAATATATGTTAACACTTTACCTGCCTTCTTTTAATTAGGTAATAATCAATGAAGTCCCGAGGATTTGTAACATCTGATGATTCTCCATGTTCTTTTATTTTCTTCGAAAAGTAACTTTTCATATAAGAATAATTTTCAAAAAATGTATTATGACTTCCTGGACAATAATCAAGCAGAGCAGGAAAAGTATTGCAAACCTACAAAAAATGCAAAAATTTACTAAATGAATACACTGTAATGATCAAATTAAGACACATTTATAGCACACAGCAAGCCTCATTTGCATTTATAGCTTAGATATAAATGTTCTCCTTGAGGAGCTGGTTTATTTGCATGTATAACAACTCTCTATTCTCATAGAGAGATGTGAAGGAGAAATCTCTGCCTAAATGGTCAAAGACCACAGTAAATTTTCCACATTCATGAATCTTTTTAGTGTAAAGCATGTTCATGTCAGGTCATTCATTGATGGTTCATATAAATTCTTTCCTACAGGTTTGAAATAGCACGTGATGCAAATTACTCACACTCACACTTTCAGATGACAGTAGAAATTAAGATGGTTGGGTGACCTGATTTATAGTAGAAATCTAGTGCCTGAAGATTTTATTCCTACCAACTAGCTTTTCACACCAAAAGAGTATGTAGAAGTGGGTGGGGCTCAAAAATGCCTTGAAATCATTGGCCATCATAGCCCTTAGGGAATATGTGTGTGTGTGTGTGTGTGTGTGTGTGTGTGTGTGTGTGTGTGTGCGCGCGCGCGCGCGCGCGCATAGGACATGCAAGTGATCCATACACTTTCTTCCAGGCATACTCACATACAATAAATATTAAATTTATAAAACAAAATCATATATACATATATATTACAGTAATTCCTTGTGCAATGGACAGGAGATGCCAATGCAGCACTGGAAAACTCTGTGGGGCTGTTTAAAGTCCAAGCACCATTAAACCATTCATCTAGTCATTTCTACCTGTCACCATGTCAACTAGGATCCCAGCTGATGCATCAAACCACTGAAACTACTCAGTGTTCCCTGGCAAGTTTCATTGCCACAAATATTCTTCCTCTTCTAAGAGAATAGTCTATCTGAACTAAGATATCCCTATATAGTAACATGATGAGGATGTACATAATTATGGAAAAGAGACCAATAAATTTACATAGTAGAAGAATGACCTATGAGTGACTGACCAACCATTCACTGTAGAAGTGAATACAGTACTCTATAAAAAGAGCTCTTTGGAATTCAATGGTAAAATCAATGTATAGGAAGCTATCAGGTTTGAGCCATCCTAACATTTTCCCTTCTGTCTTTCTACTTGTATAGCAAATGGTTTAGACCTCCCTTCCAGATAATGTTTCCATATTAGGTTAGTTAGAACTGTGGTGTCTGGTCATCTCACTGCTTGATCCATATTGAATTTGACCTGTGAAAAGAAAGTCCATAAATGTGTTCTCAGGAGGAAAGGCTCTTGGCTTCACCTGTAACCAGGGAGAGCCCAGAATCTTGGTGTTCTCATCCAGTTTTTCCATCAAGTTAAGAAAATCCTGATCTTTGTAATCAAAACGATTCTGGAAAACAATGGAGCAGATGACATTGCAGGGAGCACAGCCCAGGATGAAGGTGGGATCACAGGGTGAGCCTGGAGAGTTGGGAACAATTGTAAAATGCCATTAAAATATACAAAGACACTCTGCCCTTGTTAACAGGTAAATTACTTTCGAAGTTTTAAGCAGTGTCTTAATTATTAATATTCTTTTGTTTGTTTGTTTGTTTTGTTTTTCGAGACAGGGTTTCTCTGTGTAGCTTGCGCCTTTCCTGGATCTCGCTCCATAGACCAGGCTGGCCTTGAACTCACAGAGATCCGCTTGGCTCTGCCTCCTGAGTGCTGGGATTAAAGGCGTGCACCACCACTGCCCGACTGTGAATTATTAATATTCTTAACAGCCAATACTCACCTGGTGAAGAATCAGCAACCACCTTAACCTTAATCTTGACTTGGCCTTCATTATCAGTGGTTAAGTAATGGCAGATCATGTCTACTGTATTGAATTATAAACATTAACCTCAGGTGGATGCTATTTTGTGAAAAAGACTTTAATAAACCTAATGTTCTAATGATCAGACCTGAGTCAATTTTGTCTTTAGACCATATAGAACAGAGAAGGAAATTGAATAGTGGAGATCTGGAATTTTGCTTTTTAGTGAATAATTGTAAGCATCATGCACCATTCCAATAAAGTGTAAATAAATGGCAACATTATAGTTACATACAAGAATAAGGAGGAACAATTTAAAAAGTAGGATATATCATTGTTGTGTGAACGAAAAAGTAATATCAACAACTGTAAATATAACATGATCTACATGATCTGCCCACATAACTAAATGATGTGACAGCCTTTATTTTTTTACTTTTTCATCCATTTTATTGTCAGATAGCCAGAGTTTATTACATAAAACTTTCAAAATAATGAGATATTTCAAGAATAGTTTACAAGTCAACTCTGGTTGCACAAATACTTGACACAGGAAACTGTCTTACAAATACATACATTTTCTTACAAGAATACTTTAATAAAGAAAATAAGCCTCTATATGTCTTAAAGCAAATTTGATTCAGTTTCTTTTTCCAATCCTTCCATCATTCTGGATTCTCTTTTATAATATATCTATAACATCCACAAAGCAAATTACACCATATGATTGCTTCTCATTCAGCTACTACTAAGATTCACAATGCTAAAGGACTTTAGGCTTCCTTTTCTGATCTTCCCTGAAAAGAAAAGAATTCTCTTATTCAGGCTTGAAGGGGTAATTTTTAAAACATTCCTTCAAAATTTGGATGAGATTAACCACCATTCTGAGTAACTGATCTTTTAGGGTCTCACTCAGGCTAGACCAGTTGATAGTTTAAACCTGCAATGTCAAGTCAATAGTTCATACACCATGAAGGGAGCCCTAAAAGCAAGGATGAAATTCAAGGATTAGGAAAGCTCAAACAATAGATAGTTATTAGAGAACACTCTCAAATTCAAGGTCTCTCCCAGGCTGGGTGTGGAAGTAGTTGTATAAAATACTGAAGAACTGAAAAAGGATAATTATTTAGGCCAGTGGCGTCTCATCTCCAAAATGCCAATGGATACAGAATCTTACATAGACTCTTAATCTGGCTGAACTCAATACATGACATTCTTTTTATGCTGTGGCTTAAATATATGCTAGTATATAGCCACTTGCCCAGAGCAAGCGATGCTCTATGCCAGGGGAACAGAATACTGACCATATTTGCCTGGAAACAGGACCCACCAGAGAAGACCTGTGACCTTCAGACTTTCCTTCCATTGTTTCTGAAAAGTGTGTGCACTTGGCAAAGCATATTGTCCTTACTTTTCAGGTAGCATGAATTAACATCAAGGAATTAGAGTGGCTTTCTAAAGTTAAGTTCTTGGGGGCTTGGGAATAATATCCAACACCCTTCTGAAGATTCCCATCCAGCTCTAGTCCAACAAGTTTAAAAGCACTTGGGGACTAAGGACAGCCTTTATTTTTAATATCCATCCCGGGGCGGGGGGGGGGGGGGGGGGGGGGGGGGGGGGAGAGACAGAATGAGGAAACAAATGGAGACTTTCCTTTTCTCATGTTCATGTTTCAACCAACTGATCTTTCTCCTCAAGAAATAAATATTTTGAGCTGGGTGTGGTAGTGCATGCCTTTAACCCCAGCACTTCTGAACTGGAAGTAGGTGGATCTCTGAGTCTGAGGCCAGCCTGGTCTACAGAGTGAGTTCCAGGACAACCAGAGCATTTAAAACTCAAGCAGATAAGACTTCTCATTACAAGAACTTACTAGATAAGTAGAATACAATGTATTATCAAAGGAACAGTCATCAATTTTCTAACACAGGAAAGAGTAAATATGAAAATAATGTGCAAAACTAAGACATGTAGGAAAATACTAGAGAGTCAATGAAAACGTTTCTCGTTTAGTTAAATGAATCATTGGATAAATTTCCATATATGTAAAATTTTGAATATTGGTGTTGAAACATGGTTTAATAAAAGATATGAATCCAAACATTAAGTGTTTTGTAACAAGAAAAATTGAAAACTTGTGAAATCATGCTATAAAAAGAGATACAATAATTGATGAAAATTCTATTACACTCAGCTAAGAAATGAAGACCATACATCACATCGCTGTTATGAAAGACTGTGAACATGGACCCTAGGATACACAAGTTAAGCAATGGAGAGCAATGTTGTTCAAAAAAATGAACATCAATATCATATAGTTTAGGTTCCTTAAGGGTATACTCGGTGACATTACCACCATTATCATTGACAATTGTCTGGTTAGATGATATGCAATAGGGAAACTACACTTGCGCTAAAGAGAAGAAATAGCTCCATAATGCAATGAAAATTAGTATGAGACCTATACTCATGACATCTCATTGCAAATAAAAGAAAGCTTTGAATGGAGTAAGAACCATGTGACTTAACACAGTCATACTAGACCAGTGGTTCTCAACCTTCCTAATGCTATGACCTTTTAATACAGCTCTTCATGTCATGGTGACTCCCAAACATAACATTATTTTTGTTGCTAATTCATAACTGTAATTTTGCTACTGCTAAGAATCATATTATAAATATCTGTTTCCCAATGGTTGACTCCCAAAGGGGTCACAACCCACAGGTTGAGAACTGCTGTACCAGACCAAGATGTAAAGGTCAGATTATTAACCTGCACTTACCATTGGTTTTCCTCAGTTCCTCCACAAGGTACTGTGCTTCCTCTTGAACACGGTCCTCAATGGTCCTTTTTCCCATGCCCAAATTTCGCAAGGTCATGAGGGAAAAGCGTCTCATGTCTTTCCACATATTTCCATTGCTAAAAGAAATTCCTGAACAAAAGGGAAAAGAAAATAGAGAGTAGATCCCAGAGACAGAAGAGGGAGCTGGCTCGTGGCAGCCATAGAGTCCCAACTGTGTCTGAGGAGCAAGTATGGATTATATTGTCCATCCCCTGGCTCACTATGGATACTGCCTAGCATACACATAAGCACATGCACACTTACCAAGGCCATTAAGAAGTTTATCCACAGCCGGGAGCCTTCCTCTTCCAGAAAACACCTCTCCATGATCAATTAGAGCTTCTTTCACTGCCTCATAGCCATGCAACACCACAGTGGGCTGTGTGCCAAAATACAGAGTAAAGACAGGGCCGTAGGCTTTTGAGAACTAGAAACAAGAAAGAAAAGGCAAAAATTAGCAATAATAATAATAATAATAATGTCACCTCATTCTCCATATAGTCGACCTCATTTAGGCTGACATTATTATTATATTTTAATGTTTTTTTTAGGCAAACTCAGTAGCAAATGTTTTTGATATCTATCATTATGGTGATTTCACTTATGTATTTCCTACAGTGGCCCAGGCAAACACCTGGTCAGTTGATCCACAGATGACTATGAAATCAATTACACTAAGACATTTGCCAGATCTCTTTGTCTCATTTCACAAATAAAAATGAAGTAAAAAAATTCTCCATTAATTTTTCTGAAACCCATTTCAAATGAATAAAAACTCAAATTGGCACTCTGCTTATTCATTATTGGATGCTTGAGCAATTTATAATCACTTCATGCTCATTACAATATGATATTGAGATCAATAGTTGGATGGCATCTGTAGGATCAGCTGTGAAACTCCCCCTGTGGAAAACTAGTGAGCCCTGTGATAAAGAATAGAAATATATCTGAGGTCATCACAAATTATTACATTCAGTTTCCATCTAATGTTACAAAAAAAATAGAGTGGGCCCATAGAATCTGAACTAGAGCATTCAACATCTGTAGAATAAACAGATTTGTATCATGTAGTGTTTCTTGCCACAGCATAGGTTTGTATAAACTGAAAATAGATTTTGGGAACTCCTATATATATTAGTCACACATTATATGTATTTCATTTTCTGTGTGAGCCCATGCCCATAAGCATTTGCTTCAATCAGACACCAGTTAGTTCTTCAGAATCTAGCATCAATGGTTAATACCAATAACAATAAGTGTCTAAAATTCTGACTTATCGATGAACTATTTCTCAATCTTGACCTTCATCCAAAAATAATGAAAAACAGTTTTAAAAAATATATGAAGAAGCATAAGAACTTCTAGGAGTTCATGATTTGTATCACAAATTGCAATGACTTAGATGTTCATCTACCTGAAACATATTCCTCATTACTGAATTCTTGACCAGGACAAGAGACAAAAAGAAGAAGAAACATAAAACTTTAAATAAGTTTTGACTATATGATCATTTTTAACAATATTGTCTCCAGTGTTTCATTGAAAATATTAGATTTATCTCCCTTTTTAAAGTACTAGAAGAGCATAAAGCATACTTACATTGGTAAAGGATTGCTGGATGTTCTTCACATCTATCTGGAGGAAATTGCCAATAATTGGGAGAGGAGTTGGGCCAGGAGGGAGCTTCCCTCTCCCAGAGCTCTGTCTCCAGAGTGAGAGGAGAAGCAGACAGGAGAGACTGAGCACCAGGACCAGGACTGGCTCCATGGACACCCTTCTCACTGACACAGCTGTGATCAGACTGCACAGAGCTTTTATCATGCAGCTGCAGAATCAACATGTTGTACTTTGTGGCTTCATTGACTCATCAGCTAGACAATGTTTAATCTCTCATCCAAGTAAACTTTGATCTAGTGATAAGACAACCCCAGTCCCTCTTTAACCTCATCCTTTTGTCAAGTTTGCTCATGAGAATATTGGGCTTAATTCTATTGAGTGGTGACTGAATACTCTTTGTTTTTTGTAAGACAAGTTGCTAAATGATCTTATTAATAAAACCCTGGAGTCAGATATTGGGGTGAAAAACTGAGAGATCAGAGGAATAGGACAAGCCATAGACAACCTCAACTCACTAACACCTCAGTCTCCAAAGAGTGTTACTTCCTGTGTACCCACCCCTATATGCCTTTCTGTTCTGCCATCTCATTTCCTCTCTCCACCCAGCTATATCACTTCCTCTTTCTGCCCAGCTCTGTCACTTCCTATCTGTCTGTACAGACCTCCAGACTTTTATGGTTAACTAGTGTTGGAAATAAGGCATGAGCCACCACACCTGTCTCTATTCCCCAGTGTGGCCTTGAACTCACAGAGATCCAGATGGATCTCTGACTCCCAAGTGGGATGGAGTATCCTTTGGGTATACGCCAAAGAGTGGTATAGCTGGGTCTTGAGATAAATCAATTCCCAGTTTTCTAAGGAACTGCCATATTGATTTCCATAGTATCTGTTCAAGTTTGTACTAACACCAGGAACATTATTTGTAATAACTAGAACCTGGAAACACCCTAGATGCCCCTCAACTAAGAATGGATTAAGAACATGTGGTACATATACACAATGGAGTACTACCCAGGAATAAAAAAAAAAAAATGACTTTGACTTCCTCCTTTCCTATTTGTATCCCACTGATCTCCTTAAGCTGTCTGATTGCTCTAGCTAAAACTTCAGTACTATATTGATTAAATATAAGGAGAGTAGACAGCCTTGTCTTGTCCCTGATTTTAGTAAAATTGCTTTAAATTTCTCTCCATTTAATTTGTGTTGCCTCTGGGATTTCTGTAAATTCCCTTTATCATGTTGAGGTATGTGTCTTGTATCCTGAAAATCTGAAAAACTTTTATTATGAAAGGGTGTTGGATTTTGTCAAAGTCTTTCTCAACATCTAATGGGATGATAGTGTGTTTCTTTCAGTTTGTTTATATGGTGTATTACACTTACTGATATTTGTAAATCAAACCATTCCTGAATATCTGGGATGAAGCTTACTTGTTTATGATGGATGATAGCTTTTATTTATTCTTGGATTCTGTTTGCAAGTATGTTATGGAGTATTTTTGCATTTATGTTCATGAGAGAAATTGGTCTTTAATTCTGTTTTTTTATTTTATTTTAATGTATTAACTCTTTTCATTTGTTTCATATGCCCACCACTGTTTCCCCTCCCTCATCTCCTCCCAGTTCTCCCCTGCTTCCCATTTACCCTCTCCCCTTCCACTCTTCCTCCATCTTAATTCAGAAAGGGGCAGACCTCCCATGAGCTTGAACAAAGCATGGCACATCAAGTTGAGGGAGGACTGAGCTCCTCCCCCTGAATAAAGGTTAGGCAAGATAATCAAGCATGGGGAACAGGTTCCCAAAAGTCAGCTAAGGGCCAAGGACAGGTCCTGATCCCACTACTAGGAGCCTTACAAACAGACCAAGATACACAACTGTCACTCATATGCAGAGGGCCTAGGTTGGTCCCATTCAGGCTCCCTAACTATTGGTCCAGAATACATGAGCTCCCATGAGCTCAGGCCAGCTGTCTCTGTGGGTTCCTCTGTCATGACCTTAACCCCTGGCCCCAGCTCTACAATCCCTCCCCCTTGTCATCAGATGGACTCCCAGAGCTTGGCCCAGTGCTTGGCTGTGGATCTCTCTGCATCTGTTTCAATCAGCTACCGGGTAAAGGCTCTGATGACCATTAGGATAGTCACCAATATGATTGATTACGGTAAGTAGCCAGTTCAGGCACACTCTCCATTAGTGCTAGGAGTCATAGCTGGGGTCATTCTTGTAGATTCCTTGGAGTATCCCTGGTACCAGGTTTCTTCCTAACCCTGAAATGGCCTCCACATCCCAACCCTCCTCCCCCACCAAGCCCATCTAACCTGCTCTCTCAAGTTCCCTTCAACCCATCCACTCCCAGGTTACCCAGGAGATCTCTTCTATTTTCCCTTTCCTTTTTGGGCTCCTGTTGTTATTTAGTCTCTCTAGGGCTGTGAATTGTAGGTTGGTTATCCTGTACTTTACTCCTAATATCCATTTATGAGTGGGTACATACCATGTTTGTTTTTCTGGGTCTGAGTTACCTCACTCAGGATGATATATTTCTAGTTCCATCCGTTTGCCTGAAAATTTCATGAGGTCATTGTTTTTTACAGCTGAGTAATACTCCGTTGTATAAATGTACCACATTTTCCTTATCCATTCTTCAGTTGAGGGGCATCTAGGTTGTTTCCAGGTTCTGGATATTACAAATAATGCTGCTATGAAGATAGCAGTGTCCTGGTGATATGATTGAGCATCCTTTGGGTATATGTCCAAGATTGGTATAGCTGGGTCTTGAGGTAGATTGAATCCCATTTTTCTGAGAAACCACCATATTGATTTCCAAAGTGGCTGTACCAGCATGCATCACCAGCAGTGGAGGAGTGTTCTCCTTATTCCACATCCTCTCCAACATAAGCTATCATCAGTGTTTTTGATCTTAGCCATTCTGATAGGTGTAAGTTGGAATCTCAGAGTCCTTTTGATTTGCATTTCTCTGATGACTAAGGATGTTGAGCAATTCCTTAAACATCTTTCAGCCATTTGAGATTCCTCTGTTGAGAATTTTCTGTATAGATCTGTACCCCAATTTTTAACTGAATTATTTGTTATACTGATACATAGTTTTTTGAGTTTTATAGATAGATAGATAGATAGATAGATAGATAGATAGATAGATAGATAGATAGATAGATAGATAGAGATAGATAGATAGAGATGGATATGTCAGATATGGGGTTGATGAACATCTTTTCCCATTCTGTATGCTGCCATTTTGTCTTATTGACTCTTTTCCCTTACAGTAGCTTTTCAGTTTCAGGAGGTTCCATGTCTTAATTGTCAATCTCAGTGTCTGTGCTACTGGTGTTATATTCAGTGAGTGGTCTCCTATGCCAATGGATTCAAGGCTGGTTCCCATTTTATCTTCTATCAGGTTCAGTGTAACTGGATTTATGTTGAGGTCTTTGATCCACTTGGACTTGAGTTTTGTTCAGGGTGATAGAAATGGATCTATTTGCATTCTTCTACATGTCAACATCCAGTTATGCCAGCACCATTGTTGAAGATGCTTTCTTCTTTCCATTGTATAATTTTGGCTTCTTTGTCAAAAATCAGATGTTCATAGGAGTGTGGATTTACATCAAGGTCTTTGATTCAATTCCACTGCTCCATATGTCTGTATTTATGCCAATACCAAGCTATTTTTATTACTATAGCTCTATAGTAGAGCTTGAAGTTAGGGATGGTGATACCTCTTTCTTCATTTTTTCCTTGACCCAGTGGTGATTCAGTTGAGAGTTGTTCAGTTTCCATGAGTGTGTAGGCTTTCTATAGATTGTGTTGTTGTTGAACTTTAACTTTAACCCACAGAGATATGATAAGATACAAGGTGGTATTTTAACTTTTTTGTATCTGTTGAGATTTGTTTTATGACCAAGTATGTAGTCAGTTTTAGAGAAGGTTCCATGAAGTACTGAGAAGAAGGTGTGTATTCTTTTGTGTTTGGGTAAAATGTTCTGTAGATGTCTATTAAGTCAATTTGAGTCATAACATCTGTTAGTTCCCTTATTTCTCTGTTAAGTTTCTTTCTGATAGACCTGTCCATTGATGAGAGTGGGATGTAAAAGTTTCCCAGTATTAATGTATGTGGTTTGATGTGTGATTTAAGCTTTAGTAATGTTTCTTTTATGATTGTGGGTACCTTTAACTTTGAAGTATAGATGTTCACAACTGAGACTTCATCTTGATGGATTTTTCCTATGATGAATATGAAATGTCCTTCTCCACCTCTTTTTATTAATTTTAGTTTGAAATCTATTTTGTTAGATATTAGGATAGCTACATCAACTTGTTTCTTAGGTCCATTTGATTGGAAAATATTTTTCCAACCCGTTACTCTTCACTAATGCCTGTCCTTGAAGTTGAGGTGTGTTTCTTGTATGCAGAAGAAAAAATAGATCCTGCTTTCATATCCATTCTGTTAGCCAGTATATTTTATACGCAAATTGAGTCCAGTGATATTAAGGGATTGTGGTAATATTTTGTTTGTACTCTAACAAATAAAGTTTGCCTGAAGATCAGAGGGCAGAGCTAAACAGTAGAGGCCCTGGCAGTGTTGGTATACACCTTTAATCCCACCAGTAGTGAGGTAGAGACAGGAATATAAGTGGGTGGAGACAGAATCTCAGCCCATTCAGTCTGAGGATTCATAGAGACAGGATCTCACCCCCTTTCAGGCTGAGAATTTGATAGAGGTAAGAAGTGGCTGTGACTTGCTCCTTTCTCTCTCTCTCTCTCTCTCTCTCTCTCTCTCTCTCTCTCTCTCTCTCTCTCTCTCTCTGATATTTCAGCATTTACCCTGATATATGGCTCCAGGTTTTTATTATTAAGACCAATTAGAATTCACTATACCAGGGATATTAATGACCAGTGGTTGTTTATTCCTGTTATTATGTTTTGTTTTGGTGGTAGTGGTGGTGGTAGTGGTGGTGGTGGTGGTGTGTGTGTGTGTGTGTGTGTGTGTGTGTGTGTGTGTGTGTTTCACTGCTTTGGAATTTGCTGGTATGAGATTATCTATTGTCTGTGTTTTTATGGATATAGCTAGCTACCTTGAGTTGGAGTTTTCCTTCTAGTACTTTCTATTGGGCTGGATTGGTGCATTTCCTTGATGTTATGTA